GTTGGTGACTGGATTCCTCGGAATGTCAAAGGCACCGCAGGAAGACCATCGACCCGATGGTCAGAGTTCTTTACGAAAGGTTTTGAAGAAAGATGTGATCCTCAACGAGTCGCTAGTGCCAGCAAAATCCACAGGGCTACTCTTGCACGCAATAGGGAAAAATAGATTTACTGGTGCCCTCTGAAGTCATTCGTCGACCAACGGGACTACAGGTGAAACAGGTGATCTGATTATAGAGACTGCTTTGTACGTTTACGTTGGACTTCCAGTGAACACGAAGAATAAAGTGGAGCAGGAGTTACACACAACAAGGACGGTAACAGGCACCTCACACGAGCATTCGACTTGATGGTCCTTTAACCAGGATATTAGCCGTTTAGTGAGAATGCGCAGCCCAAACCTTCGGAAGCAATCTCATGTTGATATCACTGAAAATTCAAATCGATACCGAAACACAGATCCGTTTATATAGTGACACAAATAATCAATAAATGGCCGGAGAAACCGTGGACGTCACCATACTCGACGTAGACATATAGGCGGCAAGAGTGATAGAAATACCATCCGACACTCTAATACGCCAGATAGTTCGCAACCGCCTATATGACCGTCTATGTATAACGAAAAACTGCATAATTTGCCCTAACGGTAGAGATGGTGATTGCACAAGTTCGGGTACAGTATGTCCGATCTCTTGTAAAACGTTCGAGGACGAATACGTTGGTGAAACGGTTAGGCCGTTCTTCATCCGCATAAAAGAACACCTAGTCGGTAAATATAAATTAAAGCCAAACACTCTACTAAGCGCGCATACGATGCAGGAACACAATGGAGATTTTGAAGTAGGAGTCACCATCCTCACGCACGAATCAAAAACATCAGCGCGTAAAACTCTTGAAGTGTTTTAGATCAACTCCAAAAATTCAAAAATGAACTGCAAGCAGGAGTGTCTTATCATCACGCGTGACCTGGCGCCATACCTCAGGCTAATCCAATGACCTGACAGAGGCGCAGCCCTCGGCCAGGTATTACTCTGTTCGGCTGCTATCCACCAACTAACTTAAATACTTACAACGAATAAACGGTAGGTGTTTGAATGAAGCTGTTTCTTATGCGAATGCAAATCGATTTGTCAAGTTTTATCTGCTAGGGTTATGAAAGTGTTTGGCTGGGTAGACCGCATCTCAATGTGACCGTTCCAGGCTCTGAAGAAGGCGAAACCGTCGAAACCTCAGCTATTGTATTCTAATAAATTCTATAATAACAACTTCGTGTCTGCTTATTGAAGAAAACATCGAATTATCAATCGATGCCGAGGTTAAAAAAAAGTTGGTCATGGGAATTACTGTCTTTATCTTTTTTTTCTTGTCACTATGTTGTTAAGTTCGAGTACCACTTAATGAATTCTGATACTGTGAGTTTTTCGGAAACAATGAACACAACATGTAAGAACTCCCATTTTCGTTATTGCTAGGAAACAAAACGCAGCTGGCGCAACGGGCACACTACCGCCACAAGTAGAAAAAAATTAGCATTACTAACGACACAGCTACCATACACTTCGCATATCCAACCAAGAATTGTCTATGCACCGGAATCTTTTAGAATGACCTCCTCGAAGTGTAACTATTTCCAATACGAATACTCAATAGACTTTTTTCATTTCTATATGACCCGTCTTCAGGTCTACAGTGCGGATCCCAGCACTTTTCACATTCGATCCGTTTCCTCGCATCCATTACCCACGAAGGTCTTCCAATTTTTTATGTGTGGTTTCGGCTGCTGTTTGAGGATTTCCATTTTATTTTGATTGTCGTAGAATGCTGGTCGAGCAATTCTTCTCGAAGTCCTGAGATAGCCGGGCTGGACCGTTCCCAACTGGATTGCAGAGAGTGGTTTCTTTCCTAGGTAAGTCTGGTACTAATTCCACAACCGCGGACGGATGAGAGGCTTCGTTGGCCTGTAGCGGAATCGTATTAGCATCATGTTCTTGATGATCGACATCACTACCATTGTGCTATTCACTTATAAACCACTTTACATAGACGAACTACATCTGATTCCCCAACTATTCACCTAAAGAACTGTCTTTGCTCTGCCTAACTCTACAAGTACCACGAAAACAGAGTAGCATACATTTTAAGCAGGTCTACCGTACACAAAAAGAGGAAGAGAACCATCTATCACGAAACAATGATTTCACTCAATAAAACACATAATAAACCGAAAACCATCTGGACACATTAAAATCCTACTGCTTGAGATGTGGATAGTTAAAATACTTGAAATATCACATTAATCTCTAATAATCACATTGCAACTGTCATATGTTTGTTCAATCGATTATTACTGATATATAAAGTCCTATCAAAATGCCACAATCACTCTCGAATTCCAAAATACCCAAATTAGTTATCCATTAGCAAACAGCGGAATGCCGAACAGTAACCAAGTAACCATAATCGTACCTAGAACGGAGAAAGCTTCACCAGTGCCCCTCAATAAAAAAACAGGTTTGGAAACTTTTCAAAAAAGTAAGCAGATAGCACCACCCCACTATACTCGAAAAGTACCAATGGATCTGTTAATTCTAGAAGTATTACATAGAAGCTGTAAAAGAAAATAATGCTTGAATTAGTAGAACAGAAGTGTGGAACGGAATAATGAAGTGACAAATCTTTTAAACGTTTGTAAAAAAGATACTCAAGCTTGGTGAACTTTATTTCTTGACGATAACGTATTCAGAGTCAGCTTGTTGTGGTCTTCGTTCTCTAAGACCACTCTCTGGTGACGGTGGCGCAGAAGATCCCTCCTGAATAACTGGTTGCATACGTTGCATACCACACAAAGGAAAGATCTGATAAAGTGATCAGAACGAATGGTTTAATAAAGACAGTTTTAACCACAAAAGCAATAAAAGTAACAACAAATGGAAAACCTCGCTTCCTGTCTGCTCCTGCGACTTACTGGCTTGACTGGCATTACCACCTTCGTCTGCATCATCATCGACTGGTTTCGAGTCATTTTCATGGTCTAGAAACACTTATTGCAAAATCAGATAATATGAAAGAAGAAATTGGACCAAATAATGAGAAATTGCAACTACACATACCACTTTCTTTCGCCTTTTTCAATTTCTTTTTCTTCTCACTTTTCTCAGCCTTGCCACTGTGAGGACAATATTCGTACGTGTACCATGGTTGGAAGGATTCAAAGAAACCGCAATCCTGCAAGACAGAACTGTGTATGAAAAAAGGACAAAGCATTCAACGTTGACCAATCTACACGGCATTTCTTCGATTTCAACAAGTATGGTTGGGAGTGAATGGATGTACATCTACTAGCCTTTAGAACGACTTTCGGAAGCCTACCAATGTATGAAATCAGGGTTTTCAACCTACCAGGAAACTCTTCTACTAATTTGCCTGCCCCGGAAGGTAGGAAGAGCTGGTGAGTTGGGGCACGGGATCGAACCAGCCGTCGATCCGGTATGTTTTGCAGGCCACGCTTAACTACTGCGCTGAACATACCACTCATATTGCGTCTATGACATAACAAACAGTACATGTGTGTCTCTTTCACAAGCCACAGACATCATTTTGTCTCGTACATTAGACTTCGAAAATCGTGCACTTAAATTATAACTCATGCGTCATTTAGCTCCACATAGACCTATTTCATGATACTCTTGACGTCGGTGTCACTTTCTCCAGGACTGGGTGGACACTGATGTCACGGATGTCACCTTCACTATCGACAATCTATGGGTCCACAGGGCACAGGAAAATAAACATTGGAAGGGTGTCTCATCCAGTCAGTAATAAGCAGCTAGTGACAATACCGTACAGCACATATTGCAGCGATGACTTATTGGCTATAAAAATATATGTGCAGGAACAAAACATAGAAAGTGTTAGCAGCAAAAAACGTTTTTCAAACAAAACGAAAAGTGGGTGAACTCGTTTCTGATAAACGATCAAACTCTACACTTTGAATCAGGCCGGCAAGTGAGGAAGAACAACATCAGCAAAAACTATGAGAATAAAACCTGATAACTGCGAAACATAGCCAAAATAATGTTGAGATATTTGTAAAACTCCGGAACGCCGCTGTCTGCTATTACCCCTTCCAGATGCTAAGGCGTTTACCACCGTACCATGCTAGTCCTTCATTTCGTCTTTCTCTGACCCGTGTTGCTGATGAATATTTTCAAACGTACATTTTGTGTACACCCAACCGCCAGCAATATTGGTTTTCTTTAAAGGTATTGGTATGAAAAGTACAAAATTACACTAAAATTAGACCTATGCTAACCTCTTCAACGGTTTATCGTTCTGGCAAAGTGCTAATAAGTATCGTACTTCAGTGTATAAGCTATGAAGTATTAAACTGGAAAAAAAACGCATCCAAAAATTTTTTTTGCAAATTAGTGAGTTCAAAAGACAAGTGTTTTCCGGCTATCTTACATTGATCTGTGCTCGATAAGCTACCGAAGGAATGGAAAAACTATAGTAAACAAGCTGCTCCACGAAATAAACTACCAACAATATAAAGCATTGTAAAATTTGTCCACTTCGAGCGACGACATTCGAACTGAAGTCACATCAATCAATGAGTGATCTTCAGATTAGCATTCAACTGATCAACACTAAACTGCCTACTGCCTAACATGGATGTTCACTAAGCTGACACTTTAGCAGTACAATGAAAAGCATGCAGTACGCATATAATTACTAATATCCTAAAAGAGCAATAAAGAAGATAATCGACGTTAGAACACACAAGTAGGCTAACACTTCAGGTCAACGTAAAGTCGTGAGTATGTTTAGAATACGTCTCAGAGATCTGACATACATACAATTCAAATCGTCATCTAAACCACTGCAGTAGCTACGACGCAAATTCCGGGAAAAGAAATCCAATGGCAACGATTGTACAAGGTTTATAATCAATTCTAGCGTTGGAAGAAATAACGCAGGGAATGGCTAATTGAACACGAATTAGACACCAATACAGACGTTTATAACAGTCGTTCCACAGGTGACCATCAGAAAATAGGATGACCCAAGCAACCACTCGTTTAAAAAAAAACTTACTTCGGTTAGATTGGGTAGTATCCACAGCTTATGACGTCCCATAGTAACAAGCCAAATGACGCCGAAAAGAACTGTGCGCACTGTAAAAGCACGCTGAGAATGAGAGCTACCATACTGTTATAACGAAAAACATTCACAGATTGCCAGAAACTTACAAATGGCAACGATAACAATAGCACCGAAAGCAGCAATTCCAGCAAGAGATAAGTAATAGACACCTTGGCGAAGCCAGGCAGGCCATAAAGGGAACAGACAACCAAGTATTGTACCCAAAACTGAAGTTTGAAACTTTGAGACCCGAATTAATACACAATGGTAATAACTATCAAAGTGTCATACCCATCAGAAGGCCAATGACTTTTTTATACAACGGTGTTGGATCAAATACCCAAACATATACGTCTTTATCATCCGAAAAAACCTGAAAAGCACTGAACATCGGAAAAGAAAAACATTATTATGCCGAACAAACAGATCAACCAAACCTGTACATCATGCACTTCCAGCTTGACTTTCTTCTTTTTCTTTTTGTCCTCATCATCCTAAAAGTAGAGCACGGTTGAATTATGAAACCGGCTCAAGAAAACCGGTTCACTCACCACATAAAAAGAAGTTCATAAAGACATAATGAACTAAATTGTCAAACAACGTATAAAAGCTTTTGCTTTCAAATATATAAGACATACAACGGGACTTAACCTTAAAGTCCTTGGGCTTCTTCTCGTCCTTCTTCTCCTCTGTTTCTGTCTCGGTCACTGTTTCTTCCTCTTTCTTCTTGTTCTCGTGTTTGTCAACCTTACTCAGTCTACCTACTTCTAAAAGGGGAATTCCGAAGTAACAATAAGTTCATCAACAATGACGCCACCAATAACAACCTACCTTTGTCCTTCCTGTCTTTATCCTCTTTCTTCTTTGGCACTAATTTACGTGCACGGAAGAACAGTTGGTGTGCCATCAATGAACGCATGTAGTTCACAGCAGCAAGTCTGCAAAACAGAGCACTAATCCATAGCGAAAAGTATAACCCGGCTTCAAAACTAAGTGCTGTTGAGAGAATACTGGTAACCATAAAAAAACCTCAAAACAACTGAAGGTAGTTAAAAGCTTACCTATTCGGAAATAACGTTGAAGCCTCATTCTTGGCTTTTGTACCATAGCGCGAGTCCATAAGGGTGTCAACCGCTTTCGATCCTGAGCTGAGGGATGATGGTCTCTACTATACTTGTACAAGTTTAATAATTCAATCTATTTGAAACAAGTTGTGCAGAAAACCATCACAAAAGTTTATCTATTGAGCCGGGGAACGACAAACTATAGGCCTGGGAAATCAACCTACAAAGTAGTGGAAAACCCACCTGAAAAGTAGTGGACTTCATTCCCTTGGAACATAGTCGTGCTCGTTGGACAATTGAAACGAACATAGCGAGCAATAGTATCCTGTTCTTTTGAAAGAGCTGCCTCGTCTGTTGCTTCCTGAACGATCATTACTGGTAACCAGACAGAATATTACCTTATTAACTGCAAGTACAACCTGTTGAATGGACATAGTCCAATCGTTTTTAATAAGGACTAAGTCTTACTGAACAGGATTCATATCTCCACACTATACTCGATCAACGGCTTCAGATTATTTACTGGAAGAACGTGACAGAAACAAGAACATTCAACTGACCTTCTTCCCACTTTTCCTTTTCGTTGACATCGATGTTGCCTGAAAATCCCTACCAATAATGAAAACCAGCGCTAATCAAACAGATGAGAAACGAGTACCACAATAATTAACAACAAATCTTCGGAAAGATGAAGACGATGACGATTTGAGAAAGTTGAGGTCAAACGTTGGCACATACAAATAGGAAACTATACAACAAACTACTTACACCCAGTACCATTATACTTCTACAAACCCTTATAAACCTTGGAAACAGTTTGAGTTATTAAAACTTAGAAACTTGGCGTAGTGAAAGGTTAAACGGCTACTCAGACCAGAAACGAAACCACCATCAAAGTTCGGCACTCAAATCGAAAATGTGGAAGCAACCGAAAGCGCTGTTCTGTTGGAGCGCGACAGTCACGAACAACGTGGAGGGGGACGAGTCGTCGATGAAATTCACTTATCGTTCAACAGTTAGGGAACTTCATAAAGTCAGAACATACGATATGGAAGGATAAAGCTGTCGGCGTTGATCAATCCCTGAGAAATGCACTATGCATTTGACTCCATTATGTATCGTTGGAGGTGATTGAATGTATATCTGGCCTTTACAATGACTCGTGACGACTTACCGATGTATCCAGCCAGTGCTCCTATCCCCCGTAGAGGTCTGGCAGCAATCTCAGGCAGGAGGGATGGAGGCTTGGTGGGCCTGGGCGTGAGTATGGATCTCATGTATATTGCAGGGCGCCTCCGACCACTGCGCCACACGCGCCTTTAAGATCAGTTCATAAGGTAGCATAAGAACATAAGGGGAACATAAGGTAAGGAACTTCATAAAACTAAAAGATCTTTCAAAGACATTAACAGTCGAGAATGAATCTCACCACACATCACAGTCTTCATGTGGTACTTTTCAGCCCAACAAAGGACCTAGTGATTGACATGACGGAACATGGAATCTTTATGCAATTACGACTACCACATTTCATTTCCAGGTTCTCTTCCCGAAAAGAGTTATGGAACAAGTACAGACTGCGCAGTTTCAAAAGACAGATAGCTTTGTATAAATAAGCACATAACAACAAGTTACCAGTATCACGACCATTATGAACAAAAATCGTATCATAGCTCAATCACTCAGAATTTAAACTATTGATTGGAGTGGGGACAACAGAGACGTTGTCGCTTTCAGTCTTCATCCAAAAATGAGATGGTCCCGGCGTTATTTTTCATAAACCGTTTATACCTCTTGTACCTAAAAGTACTTCAAAACCCAATGGGCTATCGACGAGTGCACAATTTTTGATAAGAGACCTGCCACTCTGAACAAGTTTTTCCTGTTCCTTTGCATCCTTTTCAGCCTTCCACCGTTTGAAATTATCTTGGATCCACAACTCCTGAGCTAACATGTCCTGGTGTTCTTCATCTGCCATGCACTAAATCCGCATTCATAAAGTTACAGAGTTATGGTCAAGGTACAGACATGAAGGTAAGGAAAAAAAATAGTTCCGTAGACAAAAACTCACATTGAATTGATTCTCGCTAAGACCCAGATATTTCCTTACGAAGTACAATTTCGCATCATTGTCGTACTCTTCTCCTCGTATCCAGTACTTGATTATCCACCTGGCATACCAACAAACGCAGGAAAACAGGGTATATGGGAACTTTATGCAGTGCCATAGGAGAGTGTCATAGATGGATTCCTTCTTGTAACCACCTCTGCAATGTGGTACAGCTTCCGTGTTCATCAATAACATTGACTAGAACTGAAAAGAAATACCTGACGTCCATGTTCTCCTCGATGATACTTCTTATTATATCCTCATTGTTTTTTCCTTTATTTTTCTTTAACTTGCCTTTGTTGTCAACCTCAAGAACCTAGGAAAACACGCCATAGTATGGGACTCCTTGGTATACAATCAGAATAAAAATTGTTTACTACCATCACAGTTTAACTAGGAGTGAAAACCCGACTATCAGACCTTCCTTTCCAATCCAGCGTTTATGGCCATGTTTCGAAATTTTCCAACAGTCATAGCGTATGCTATTGCTTCAGCGTACTTCTGCTTAGCACTGTAGTACTGAAAACAGTACAAATGGGTTCATAAATGCTACGTAGTCATTTCATTGACTAGGCCGAATTTAATTTGCCCATGTTGAATACCGATCAAAACAAAAAGATTTTTAAAGACAAACGTTTAATTCTTTATATTCTTGTTGAGCAAACACGAGGTGTTATTTTACTCTTTATTGCTACTAAACTGACGCATCGGCGCATTTCGCCTTCCTCAGAGGCTAGAAAGATCAGGTTGACCGCAATCTACCCAGCCAAACATCTCTATAAGCAAACAGAAAAAGTGCTCAACCAAGATTTCAATCACATTGAACGCAGAATAGCTTCCTTGCCTACTCGAGCTTCCGTCTCCACTTTAGTTGTCTAGAAAAGAGTAGTAGTACGTAAGTACCACTGAGGGTGCGAAGAAGCTATTCTGCGTTCAATGTGATTGAAATCTTGGTTGAGCACTTTTTCTGTTTGGTTATGCAGGTGTTTGGCTGGGTAGATTGCGGTTAACCTGATCTTTCTAGCCTCTGAGGAGGGCGAAATGCGCCGATGCGTCAGCTTAATAGCAATAAAGAGTAAAAGAACAGCTCGTGTTTGCTCAACAAAAATGTAAAGAATTATTCGATCAATGCCGAGGTTAATAGGACGTCGGTCGTGGGAATTACAAACGTTTAAATTCATTTGAAAAAAGCATCGTTACATTTAACATACCTGGAATAAGGAGATGGACAAAATGGTTCCCAGGATCACCAATCGAACGTCTACCTTGGGTATGACCTTCCGACGGTAGTACTGATAATAATTGTAGAGTCTTCAAAAAATCAATGAAGAAGAAAGAAAAAGAATACATAGGTGAATTAGAACATGAATGAGATTTTCCCCGTTTGGGAATTAAAGACATAAGATATAGCGTATTCATTCAGACAACTGGGAAGCTGTCCAACCTTTCTTCTGGATGATCCAGGTAATAGTCGTAATCTGAACGCGTTTGTTCGTCCTTCAAAGTCTCATAAGCAGTTGCTATCACCCGGAAGCGAGCTTCTGCCTCTGTCTTAGCTATCTGGAAAAGAGAAGTGGTAATTACTTACCTATTTAATACTTAAATGGCCGTCCTCACCGGTTGTGCGGGTCCCAGCATAATCTCCAATTTCCGGAGATTTGCTGGTTAAGCCATGGTGGCTCCCTGGAATCCCGAGGTCAGTCTGGACAAAGTCTGCCCAGGTCTTCACCACCACAGGCAGTTGCAACCCTTGTGCATCAAAGAGAGATTTACCACCATGCGACTTTTTAATACAAGGACGGTGGTGGATCCTGGTATTGGTTTAATCTTAGCTAGGCTTCCTAATGGAAACTCCGGACTCCTTCTCAGCTTAGGAGGCCCTGCCAGGGGATGAATCCCCGCTGTACATCGCAGTCCCACACATAGGAACATCTCCCAGCTACGATGAGGCGACTGTGGTAATTTGCATAAATAAATAGTAGTAAAAGTAAAAGTGAGGTGAAGTAAAACAATGAAATATGAAGAGAAGACTAAGGCAAAACACCACAATAATGTGGGTAGGATACACATAATGGAGTAGACACATCATAGATGGTCCGATAAGTGTAGTCCTTCTAAGAAATCCGCAGTTCAACCCACCTGGTCCTTCACTCGATCTGGATGGTGCTTCTTCGCCAACGCACGGTAGATCTTCGATACTGTCGTCCTGTCGAACTCCTCGCGATTTATCCCCAGCACTTGAATGAATGACTATTTACTACTCAAGGACCATCAATCAATACAAAAAACCTACCATCGTAACAATTTTCAAGACCACAGTACAACTCTTCGGCAAAACCAATGGATAGCACAATTTCTAATCGATTAGTGATTAGCAGCAAAGATGCTAAATGAAGCCGGAAAATGGCTTCCATACCCGAGTGTACCTGAAAACTACCTGTGACACGTGTTTCACATAAAGTAACAGCTTGCAGGTATGCTCGAGTACTCGTGAGTCTTTCGACGCTTCGAATCACCAACGAACTTCTCCTTCACCCCCCACCCATCCCACCCACTTGAGTAGTACTGGAATTTTCAGTTCACTCATACAGAGTAGGACCTGTGGACGGAGAGCACCGATCGTACAATGAGACGAACACTTGGGTTCAGAGTTTGTATAAAGTAGCTGGCTCTTTGACCCGCACGAGTCCATCGACACTTTATAGTGAATATGTAGTCGAACCAATAAACTATTTTTGAGCATAACACGATAAAGATCCACTAACATGTGACCTTTGTGCTCTGTTTAACCTATATCGTATAAACTGGAGTCCGAACTGTACTTCAAAACACGGAATTCGGCAAATTGAGAGCACAATGCTTACGACAAGGCGCGAACAGACGACATGACCTCTTTAGAAGTCATTTTTTTAAGGGACATAGTGGCCGGCGTGACTTCCATAGGTATCAGAGTGAGCTCAGCGAAAAATTATGTGTCATCCATCGAGATGGAGAAGCGAAATTAGGCGCTGTCCCCTAAGAGATGTTGCGTTGACCTATCGATGACATACAATTGGTAAAGTGCATATGCTAATTTAAGTCCACTTTCAAAACATATACGTTAAATTAAAGGCCACGTGTAGGGCAGTGGCCTGACACGCCCTGCAATACACACGGGATCGACCTCCACGCTCAAAGCCCACCAAGCCTTGTATTCCTCAGGGGTCGGGAAATTGATAACAGACTTGTATGGGAGCATAGCAGCACTGGCTCAATACATTGGTAGGCCACCGCGAGTCATTTTAAAGGCCAGATATGCATACAATCACCTCCAACGATGCTTAATGAAGTCGAGCGAATGGCACATCCCTCAGGGATTGATCAACATCGAGAGCTTCATCCTTTTTATCTTTTACAAATTAAATGAAACCGATTTTCCAAAATTCAGACCACTATTAATTTCCTTTTACAAAGCCCGACACATATTGTACGGATACCGGAGTCCCGCACTTGTTTCATTCGTTTTGCCGTTGATCTCGCACCCATCGTCCACGAACGTCATCGGATTTATGTGTGAGCTCGGTTGCTGCTTCACGACTTGTGATTTTCCTTATAGATGGATTTGAATGTGGATCGAGTAACTTCTACATGGGATTCCGGAATAACCACGCTAGGGCATCCCCAAGTTTCTGTTTGGCACCAGTAAGCCGACCGTGCCGAGATGGGAGCGTGGGTTGGCTCGGTGCGCAGCTACAAACTTGATATCAGCAACCTCTCCAAACTTCTGAATATTACAGCATTAGGAATTTTAAGAAGTTAGGAAAAAATCCTCTTGTCCACTATAATAGATTATACCCGGAAATTATTCATATCACAGACTTGATATGGGGATCCAAATGGATTCTCAATAAAGAAAAGGATAAAGCTTTCAGCATTGATTAATCCTGGCCAGCCTGGGGCCAAGATCGATCCCACATGTGTTCTGCAAGGCGCTTCTGACCACTGCACTACACATCCACACTTGCAACATAGTCAACAAAATACTGGACCGCATTGGACTGGTGTTCACAACTGTCGTCCACTGGTAACAAGGATTGTTGTCTGCCAGTGCCTCTTTCCGTCTGTCGTCTCACGACCTGCTTCGAAGTTCACGACAAACCTGTGAGGATTGGAGCAGACTTCAACATTGGAATATCTTCATGGAATCTTACTGTCCAGTAGAAATACTGCTTCTTCTGACATGTTCTGTAAAAGAGTCTTTCATCTCTAGCTGTGAAATGTCTTGTTTTCAGCGATACTTTAATTTCTGAGCAAATACTACTGTTCCGTTCATCTATTGTCGTTTCATTGAACAGAATGGGCCACGATCACCATGAACCTTTCAAAATTCCTCACTATTCGATCTACAACAACTACCAACAGTTCCCAGAGCTGGCGAATCACGAGAGAAGGCTAGCTCAAATTGGCCTCAAAGACCCGTGGATCAGGTGTGTTGTGTCCTTGAGTTATTTCGAAGACTTTTGGTTTGGTGCAGGTTCACTCCTTAGAATTTGTTTAGTTTTCTAAGTAAAGCTTTTAAAAGGTAAGTTGCTGTACCTATGAAGTTTTTTTCAACTGCTTGTATTATGATGGGATTCAGGAACTATGTCTACCTGTACGATCGTGAGTATCCTCATGTGCGTGGTAAATGGAATCACTTCAAGCGGGTGAGTGGAAATTCGTTTCGTTAGGTAGAGTCTTTAACTAGGATGTTTGTCCATGAGTCTTCTTTCATTTAATGGATAGAAACTGGGATTTAAATCAACGTTTTTTATAATCGTTCCAAAGGCTTACCGCTTTTTCGTGACTGGGAGGTGTTCCTGAGTGTCGGACTGCGATGTACAGTGGGGGGAGTGATAAGCAGGGTCTCCCAAGCTGAGAGAGAGTCCAACGTTTCTACCGGGAAGCCTAGCTAAGAGTAAACCAATACCAGTACCAGATTACACCACTGTAGTGGTATCAAAATAGTCGCATGGTGGCAAATCTTCCTCTGATCCACCAGGACAACGAATGCCTGTAGTGGTGACGACCTGGGGCAGACTTTGGCCGGACTGTCCTCTGAACTCCAGCTAACCACGATAGCTAAAGGACCAAACTCTGAGACAATAGAGATTATGCTGAGGCTCCCACAATCAGTGAAGATGGTCCATCAAAGTATTTAGGTAAGTATAAATTTTTTGTGTCGTCTTCTTGTTCAGCAATCGCGAGGTTTTAAACAGCATACATTTACTTCCATAAAAAAAACAGTACAATACAACGCTAGCTGACGTTTCGGCAGGATCGCCTTCTTCAGAGCCTGGAAGGGTATACTGATATGCAATCTACTAGGCCAAACGCTTCAATGACACTTACAAAAAGACGAAAGACTCTCTGGTAATTACATGATCAACAACTTCTCGAAAAAACCCACCGCTTTTTTCGTGACTTCCAATGAGGAAGTTTAGAACAGCTGATTATAGTCGCATGTGGTTGACGACTGCATCATCCCACATCAAAAATCGATGCGAACATACGGGATCAGGTCGCGTATGACCTCCAGGCATTCTTCCCTGCTATTGATTGTAGGGTTTTTGGCATTTATCCAAAAAGCCTCAAGGAGTTTTCGCGCTGGTGTTTTGGACTCCTGTGCAAGGATATTGACTTTTACTTCAAAATCGTCTCCGCTATGCTTTTGTATCCTATGCGTGCCTAGTGGGGTGCTTCGTCTTAGTTTTCGTTTGCCATCTAGGTGTTCTTTTATACGGATACGCAAAGGTCTACCCGTTTCGCCAATATATTCATCTCCGCAGTTCTCAAGACTTTATCACTACCGCGATAGAAAGCTTATCTCTAACCTTACAGCGGCACAAAAATGTGGCATGCGAGAAATTAGAGAATTAATAAGCTCCAAAGCAATAAGATTGTCCGTTAGTGATAAGGGTGGAGAGTTCGTAGTTATTTCCCGCCAGCTGGATGTTGAGATAACAGAGGAACATCTTAGTGATGCTACCAAAGGACCTTTGTGTATCCGTATAAAAGAACACCTAAATGGCAAACGAAAACTAAGACGAAGCACCCCACTAGGCACGCATTGGATACGAAAGCATAGCGGAGACGATTTTAAAGTAAAAGTCAATATCCTTGCACGGTAGACTAAAACACCAACGCGAAAACTTTTTGAGGCTTTTTGGATCAATGCCAAAAACCCTACAATGAATAGCAGGGATGAATGCCCGGAGGTCATACGCGACCTGATCCTGCACGTTCGCATCGATTTTTGATGTGGGATGGTGTAGTCGTCAACCACATGCGACTGTAATCAGCTGCTCTAATCTTGCTCATTGGAAGTCAGAAAAATCGGTGAGAAATCGAGAAGTTGTTGATCATGTAATTACCAAAGAGTCTTTCGTCTTTTTGTAAGTGTTATTGAAGCGTTTGGCCTAGTAGAGTGTATATCAGCATACCCTTGCAGGCTCTGAAGAAGGCGATACTGCCGAAACGTCAGCTAGCTTTGTATTCTATTGTGTTTTATTATGGAAGTAAATGTATGCTGTTTAAAAACCTCGTGATTGCTGAACAAGAAAACGACGCATTCATATTCCAATGCCGAGGTTAATAGAAAGTCGATCCTGGGAACTATAAATTCTTTATAATGAGGGAGAACTAAGCACATTGTTTTCGAGATCATTCACCTCTGAGGTGCGAGTTTCTCATTCAGAAAACGTTTTAGTTGATCTTACCTGGATGGAAAGCTGGTGTTGGTCTTGCGTTTGCACTGATTGCGGTCGAGGAAGGATACCAGTATGTCAGATACGGCACAACTTCTTGGGATTCCCATCATTGAACTTGTAATTCTTGTAGAATGTATAGTGTAGCCTAATAAATAGCTCAATATCAAGTGGTGGTTTTACAATCGTGGCAGTTTTCCCCTATGTACATCAAGGATCTTATGTGTTATAGCTAGGTGATTTTCAATATTTTAGGGCTCATGTCAGCCCTTGAAGCATTTGTAAATGAACAGAAGAAAAAAGCTGGTGGAAACGGCATTGGCGGAGGTGGTATCGGTTCTGCTTCCTTCAATCCGTTTGTTGACTTACGAAGCAAACTTACAACTTCTTTGAGGTGAAAGCTGTTGACTTTCGTTATGACTAATCACTTTTTTTGAACGAGGGATCTAAGTTGAATAGGCGTTTCTGCTAAGGAAGAATTGGACAGTTTGACAGACAACTCTTTGTAATGCCAATTTAGGTGAATAACATAAAGAGGTTTTGTTTGAGCTTTTGACGTAGGTGTTTTCAAAACTTTCTAGCACCTTTCTAATTGAACCGATACATGTTCCTATTTGCAGCGTAGTTAGGTTATCCATCACCAATGGGGACTTGGGGTTTTCATTTTTCTTCGTTTTGTGTCATTTTGACTGTATTAATAAGACTCAACGGTCTACACTGCACTGTTATTTTCTCTTTATTTAAGTTGCTTTTCAGTAGTTTACCTCTTCTTTCACGTTCTGAGACCGCCGATTCAGAGTCATTGACTGGTGAGCTGGGAGCAGATGGCCAGTTGCCGAACACAAGGAACAGGTAGACTACGAGTTTTTATTTCCACTAATATTGATTTTCTCTTTCGTAGATTTTCAGAGAAATTAATTTAGAAAGAACAGTGGTTGGTTCTCCTTCGGAGATGAGAATTTCTTCGGTATGTCACGCACACAGAGGATTTTCGCCTTCTTCTTGTCACTTCTGGGCTCAATTTTCTGCTTCTCAACGGTAGGGATTATTTAGTGTTAATAACAGTGTTATACAGTGTTCCTCGTTACCACTTATTTTCGCTTCTTTTTATTGCTCTAGAATTTTTTGGAAACGAATTCTTTGTCCTATTGGATAGTGAGCATTCCATTTCGTCACCTTAGAAAACTTTTCGACTACTTTCGGTGTAATGATTGCTTGAAATTTCTTTGAGCAAAAAAAGCAAAATTATTTGTTCATGGTTTATTTGAGTTCTCATGGGAATGAAGTGTTAGTCCTATTAGTATTCATCTTTCTTCTCTCCAAAGAGTTTTTCTTCTTGCAATTGAAACTGCCTTGTTTCTGGGCGTCTGTTGCAATGAGTTTTCCAGATATGCTAGCTTAAATTCTGTCCATTTTCCTCCTTTCCGTTTATCGACATGAAGAGGTCTTTATTTCTAGTATGAGGTTTTATGTTCCAAATCTAACCATGTAGCACATTCAGAACCCTACGGGTATTTTAATAATTAGGGAACTTGATAAATAAAAATAGGATAAAGCTCTCGGCGTTGATCAATTCCTGAGGGATGCGCTGTGCATTCGACTTCATTAAGTATCGTTGAAGGTGATTGAATGCATATCTGGCCTTTACAATGACTCGAGCTGGCCTATCGATGTATCGAATCACTGTTACTATTCTTCTAAACAAGGCTGGTATCAATTTGCAGACCTCGGAGGGGTGGAAGGCTTGGTGAGCCTTGAGCGCAGGGATCGGTCCTATGCGTATTGCCGGACTCCTCCGACCACTGCGCCACAAGCGCCGCATATATATATATGTATATATAAGAATATATATATATATATGCGTGTATATGTATACGTATATATGTATATGCATTGCAATGTGCTGTTCCACTTTTATTTTTTCGGGCAAAATTTAGTAACAGAGGGGAAAGAAAGCACAGTTTCTAGCAAAATCTGGTAGTACGACAACCACTCACGTTCACAATGCTTTCGGAGGCATGTCTTGTAGATGAAATCACCCTCGTTCAACCACTTTTCTGCTCTGGTTACAAATCCTGGGCAAAAATAAAGACCAAAAAATCAACAACTCTGGAAAATTGGAAATTTATTCTGTTAGAATAGATAGATTTGTATGTTGCTACCAAGGATATGTAAATTTGTACAGCAATCTTATCATTTGAGTATATCAAGTTGTTTTTCTTTCAAGTAATAAGCCACACTTCAAGCTGAAATGTGCTAACTCAAAGTTGCAAGGATGTTTGGGTTCACATATGCATTGAAATCAGTGTATATTTCAGTGGACATGTTAAATCCACTCCCGATTGATCAATGCAGAATTTTAGAACGAAATCTGTTTTTCTGTAGAAATACTAATAGCGTTATGGAGATTTTTACCGTCACTTGCTTTAGCACTTTAGCCTTCCCATGCTTCTACATTTATTAACATGTGTTCAAATCTGGTCTTGTAGTTTCAATTCGCGATCACCATTGCAAAACTTGTGTCTTATGCTTGGATCGAACCGGCGACCCTCTGTTTACAAGACACACACTCTGTCCCTGAACCAATGAGGCTCTTCGACTCCAGCATGAGGCATGTGTTCAGGTCGTCAGAATAGCAGCTTCAACTCAATTTGTTTTCTCGCTTTTTTGTAATGGAAGTTCATTCACTTTTGAGGCTTGAAAATTGGCAAATAGTGACTCGGATAGGATATTTTGCAGCAATCGTATCATTTGAGTATATAACTGACTGATCTACTCATAGGAAATTTCTCTGCCGATGTAATACTAGAATGTCTTGGTGGTTTTCTGCCAATATACTGCTACTGTATTCATATGTTCATTGCTGTTGACATATTCACTACGACCTTATTACTAATCTTCAGGAATTTTTCCAGTAGTCACAATGTTATCATTAAAATTATGGAGTGGCGTGTGGGGTAGATAGTAAGTAATTAGTAAGTAAAGGAGTTAGTAAGGTAGTTAGTAAAAGAATCGTACTTTTGTGCAAGAACTCTTCCTAGTTGTTATAAAAGCCGTGACACTGTTGACGATTTCGTCCTGTTACAAATATTTGCTCACCACGCCTAGTCCAAAGCCACATACCAGTTTTCCTTTTTTTCTCCTTTTGTTTATCAGGTTTAAGTGGGGTGTTATGACACACTCTACTAGGAATTGGCGGCGCATGAGGTATTTGTACGACGGCGTTGACTTCTGATTGGCTTCTTTGTGTTGTCTGATCGACTAAATGAAAGTTGTAAAATACGCAGGTTACACGCTTGACATTTGCTTTGTTGTTAGAAAGATTCATGAAGTCAAACTATAGCAGCCTAATACCACAAAATATCTTAGGGTTTAATTCCTATGATGGGTTCTGAAGAATAGTACTGAATACTGCTTTAGTCGCTAGAGCAGTGTGTCATACAGCAGTAGTCTGGTTGCCGTTTACCGTCGCTTATTTCTGCTAGCACATTAAAAAAATCGCCTAGTTTTTGCTGCTCATTCTGATATCTCCTCGTACTCAACACTTTGTAGTCTCTTTTTGTGTGCAGGAAGCAAAAGTTGTCATACGTTGCTTCTCATTCTCAATACAACTGGCCAGAAGACAACGCTCAGTGATTACGAACCCATAACGGATACGCGCCATTATGCGTGGCTTCAGAATGGTATAGAAAACGTTAAAACTCCCTACGAGTGGTACACAAACAATTTTTCGTCGGCTGCAGACACTATAGTATACGTACTGTCCGTTATGGGCTAATACTAGTGCTCAGTTGCACGGACGCTCGCTAACTTCGTCGTTGAGCCTCATATCTCTTTTATAAAAGATTTCGAACCATCCATTTACTGCGCTGTCGGAAACACTTCCCTGACCCATAATTCCATGCCATTTCAAAGTGCTCCTGCAAAGCTATGTCCACTTTTAAACACATAAGGGTGAACAGTACAATTTGCTTGCTTCGAGAGCGTTATTTCAACGAAATTATTAGGTTCTACGGAAATTGATGTCCGATTTTAATCTATATTTTCAACGTGGCATATTTCAGCTTGTAATAAACCTTATTTACCTGAATATTTGGATGGCCCGCATTTACGGGTAATGAAGGCCACAGCACAATTTCTGTTGATTTCTCTCTGCCTAATCGCCATCCTTTATAGTCGTCTACTTTTCACACGCTATCATCCGCGAATCCCATTCCGCAGTCGCTCCCTTCTGTAATTCAGCACGTGAGCCCATCGTCTGGGCTGTTCTCCACGAGGACGCTTGCATTCTTTTGAAAACCACTTAACTGTTCTCCTCGTCTGTCTGTCACCTGCTCTTATTTTGTGGTTGATCCATCTGTGTTTCGCCATCGATGTGTATTCTTCTGGAACCCGAAGATGTGACATGTTTCAAAAGTATTAGCTTCGCATTCCAACTAAATGCTGTGTGTGCTGGTTATATCCCATGAGACGTCGTTCAAGCTTTCTGTGGATGGTGCGAAGATTTCTTGACGTGGTTGAACCATCAGCCTACTTCTCTGTTTCGTCGACCCGGTCCCCTTATCTGCCAGTCAAATGCGGAGGGGATTTTGTTGAGAATGTCCTCGTCATTCACGCTTTTCCTTGTTTTTCTTGGATAATGAAAGAAGTTCTTTCCCAACTTTTGGATGAATCGCACCTTTTCAAGGAAAAGGCAGTGATGAGTGCTGAGAAAAATCCTACAAGACGATTTCCATTCTCATTTCGACCTTCATTTCCGAATTTTCCTGTCCATAATTCCTTTTTGTTGGCCGTTGCTAAGCAGTTGTTGATAGTACATTTTCTGCCTCGGAAGTTGGAATGGTTTTGAATGGCCAGGCGCAGGGTAAGATTTCGTACGAAGTGACTAGATGGGAAATAGATGGGTGGTCGAAAAAGCCTACTCCTCCGACAATTCGTATCGGAACTTTCCCTCCACGAATAACAAAGGTTCCATCATCTAATTGCCGTACTGACGTTATGCTCTTTCTGCTCTTCATCTCTTATAAGGTGATCGCAGAGAATTTTATGCGACCGGACGCTTTAAAAAAGCGTCAAGCTCGTTGTCTGTAGAGACTGTTCTGGTATTATAGGTGCAGAGCAAGAAACAGTCTCCATGGCGTGTCTTGGTGTGCGCGTTTTTCCCGTTTCCAATGGCGTCCTGTGCAACGCGAGATTTGATTGTCACCGCTTGTCTCACCACCTGACGTCATGGACGGGAGCGCCCATTGTTCGGTGTACTGAGGCTGCAATTTTCCTTGTTTAGACATTGTGGCTCACTGCAATCCCGAGGTCAGCTTTCCCGAAGCCCTTCTCAGGTCGTCTGCACCCCAGGCGGTCGCCGATTTTGTGGATCAGAGGGAGATTTGTCACTGTCACCATTCGACTAGTTTGGTAGTAGGCCGATAGCGATTTCCGGCACTTGTCTTCTCACAGGTCGCTTTCTGTGTGGAAACGTCGGACTCATTCTCAGTTTTGAAGAACTTGCTGTAGGGATAAACTCCCTGGTGTATATCACAGCCCAACACACCCAAACACCTACCAGTCGCGATGAGGTGTTAAGCCACTGGGAAGGAATAAACTTTATTACTCGAAACTTTACAACCTGCACATTTTTGCGAGTGAGCAACACATTCCTTAATTCCAGTCCAGTAAAATTCCGGACTTATGGTGGGGTTGAAGCTGTTGAAAACAGTTTCGGACTTGACTTGGTTTCTGAATAATTTCTCGCTGACTATGAATTCTTGAGAGAACTGATAGAATGTAGGCGAAAGGTCCGGCTAATATGGTGGATGTACCACAGTTTTGCAGCTCAGCTCAGTCAACCTTTGCAGTGTCGATAGTACGAAACACCGCCTTATTGTGTAGAAGAATTGGTACCTTTCTGTAGCCCAATGTCGAGTGTAAGCGTTGAAATTTTCGGTGCATTTCGTCGTTCTGCTGGAAGTACTTCTCCGTTGCAATCGTCTGATTTTGATTTAAGAAACTGTGATGGGTTAAAAAAGCAGCAAACCACCAAACAATCAGCATAACCT